AAGTTATGTAGAAGGCTTGAAAAATGAAGAACCTCACATGGATTTAGAAAAAACTCATTATAGGTTTCAAATCGACTATAGGAAGCAACTACCAACATGCCACAAACAAGTAGAATCCGGTGTCATGATCCTCCTAGTTCTAGAACATTCTACCTTAGCATACACCGTTCATAGAGTTAAACAAGCATATTCTCAAACCGTGCATCCCCATACCATTTAGGAAGATATTCATTCAAAATTAAAAATCGGTTGGATATAGTCCAATTCAAAAAGAAAAACAAAAAGGTGACAAATAAAGCCTAAAAAACATACCAAAATCCAAAAACAAAAAGAAAGAAAAATAAAAGATAATAAAAGAGAAAAGGAAAAACATAGATAAAGGAAAAGAAGTAAAATAAAGAATGGAACGAATATGCAAGTAGAACATGTAATTCCCAATCGACAAACAAGTGAACAAATGACAACATCGTCAATGATCCCAAACACTGTAGGTGTTAAAAGCATCCATCCTCGAACCATTCAACTTTTCCTAAAACTAATCCTAAACTATACATCCAAGAAAATAAAAGAGAATAAGGGAAATAAGAAAGATCTCATGCTAAAAGAGTAAGGTGAAGAATCAACCACCTCATGAAGCTCCAGAAATCAAAGCATCATCATCAAAGCCATGTGAGAACAAAAATGGAAAAGAAAACTATAGACAAAGAAAACGGTTAGTAACTTCAAAACAAAAGAAAGAAAAGAAAACGAAAAGGAAAGAAAATAAAAGGCAAAAACAAGAAAAACTAAACTATCAAGAAAACAAGAAAATAAGAACTAAAGAACTAACTAAACATCTAACTAAACAACAAAATGCTAAACTACAAAATTTGGATTCAAGGGGTTTGGATTTTGGGGGTTTGGATTCAAGGGAACAAATACACATCATCATCACAACAACAACAAGATAAAAAATGAGCAAACATCAACAAAGTAGGATCAAGAATGAGATCATCATGCAAAGAAACAAGAGAAGCAAGGTTAGTCTCAACAACAAATTGGCCACCAAGACAAGACCCCTAAGAAAAGGAAAAGTTCCCCCAAGCTAAACAAAGATACATCTCAACATCCCGACAACACAAAGAAAGCACACATAAGATAAGGGATGGAGGCACATAGCACAAAAATGAAGGAACTAGCAACCACTACCACTCGGCCCGGAGCCATCGTTGTTATCCCCATTATAGGAAAACCCGGATGGGGGACCATGAGGATCCCATCCCACGGTGTAACCGGGTGGCCAACCATAATGCCCCCGAAAGTTATCTTGTTACTAAGGGGAAAGGGGAGCGAATTGCTCAGGCAAGGCGAGTAATAGTGGATGATCGGGATGTACATAGGGGTATTTAGGATCACCCCTATAATCGCTCCCACCGGGAACACGGTAATCATAGTGACCGTGCTCATCGGGGAATGAGCGAGTCTCGGTGTTGGACCCCGGGGGTCCCTGCCAATATGGGTACGTAGGTACCCCATCACCCCTAAAAGATGGTAGAGGACCATATTGGGGTGGAAAGTAAGGGTAGTTAACCGGGGAAGTGATTTCTCCCCGGTTAACACCCGCATCATATACGTGATGTTGTTGGAGAAACATACCTTGTTGCATCTCCAAAACCCCTCTCATATGGGTATAGAGGGCCTCAAAATCTTGATCGTACATGCCCTCCAACTGGATTTGCATGCCCTTCATGTGAGCACTAAGGGCATCCAAGTCGGTGCTAGCATATTGATGATGTTGCTCTTGATGTTGTTGTTGTTGTTGTTGTTGTTGTTGTTGTTGTTGTTGTTGTTGTTGTGGCGACTCTTCTTCTTCTTCTTCTTCTTCACCCATTTCTTCATCATCATCGTAGTAGGGCGGGCGGTGACTAATGGGGACGTGCCAAATGTTTGCAACATTCTCTCGGTGGAGAGAGGTCAAGGAAAGGTTAGGGAGACAACACCAATGCTCATTGTCCCTTAGCCACTCAAATACCTCGTCATCATCATTCTAATTTTCCAAGAAATGGATTTGCTTCAATTTCTTGACGTCGAGGTAAAGAGGATCATCATCCCCCACCGGAGTGCAAGATGACAAGTAATGCCCTAGCTCAAGGTTGGTCACTAGCCTAGTGACCATGCTCTCACAAGGGATTTTGTCGGATTCCCTATCTTGCAACCCTTGGCAATAGCTTGCAAAAGTGTACCCCAAGTTTAGGCGACCCGATACTCCTCTCGAGTAGCCACCCATAAAATCCGAAGTTCCAATTGACTCATCTTTCCCAATTCTTGCTTCGGGAACACCAAATATCCCAATAGCCTATGGAGCACCCGGAGACATGGTTGGTATAGCTTACTTATCTTGGCATACCGGGTCACAAAGTCACCGCAACAAGGAATATTGTCCCACCACGAATTCTGTTCATACTCATCGTTGAAGAAGAACTCGGGATCCAAAATATCAGAATTTGGATCAAAATCAAGAGCCGCATTAAACTGCTCAAAAGATTGATCGAATTGAATGTTGAAGATTTGAAACCGGACACGGTAGATACCACCTTCAATCACCGCAAGATCAAACGTGGCCAAGAACTCCAAAGTTGGTTGAACATATGTATGGAAGCTCTGACTCACAAAAGACCCCATGCAAAGGTTTTTGATCAACTCCCTCAAGTCTTTATCAATCCCCAATTTAATCATATCCGGTTGAAAATGGTGACCGGAAGGCTTGAGGGAACGGTTTTCTTTGAGCTTGGAGTGTCTAACTTTTTAGATTGGGTTGGTAATTCTATGTTTGGGTATAGGGGTAGGTTGTCGTTGTTTTGAGGTAGATGGAGAAGGAGCGAGTTCTTCATTGGTTTTACGTTTCTTGAAAAGGCTTTTGATGTGTTTAGACATGATGATTTTCAAATGTAGCAACTCAAAACACCAAAATCACCCCAAAGAAACTCCAACCAACAATCTTGAATGCTTCACTTGAACTCCTTAACCAAAATTGACAAGCAACAATTCACTAACAAAGAAGTGCAATCCCAAATACTCACAATTACCACCAATTCAAGCCACCAAATGTATTCAAACCATATACCAAGCAGAAAGAAATCAATAACCAAGGCTCAACATTATCAACGAAGCACCACTACCAAAAATCCGATCACAACAATTCTCAACAATAACGAACAATTTTGCTACACAAACAACAAACAACACAATGTAAGAAATAAACAATCATTATACAACACAAATAACCAACCAAAATCCAATTTAAAACATCAAAACCATCAAAATACATACTACTACTATTCATGCCCATGAAGTAACTAAAACATGCAATTATATAGTATAATAAAGCAATTAAGAGTAAGAGTAGATGATTATACCATATAAGAAGCAAATTAGATCAATCCTTAGCCACCAATTTCCACTCACAAGAAAAACCCCAATTAAGCTTCAACAATGGAGGAGAGAGAGTGGTGGTTGTTATGGGTGAAATGTAGTATGAATTTGTTAAAATTGGATGAATTGTTAGAGGATTTGATGAATTGTAATAGAAATTTAGTTGAATTTGAGTGAAAATTTGATGAATGAGTGTAGGGCTATGGGGCGGTTTTGGTGAGGGTGAAGGGGGTTTGAGCTTGTGACAAAGAGGGTGAAGGGGAAATGAAGGAAAAGAAAGAAGAAAGAAATAAGCACGACATAGGGGTGCTCGGCCGCGTGGCCTGGCACCGCGCCCACGCAGGGGCTAGGCGCGCCCTGCCACCTGCTGTTCTTCTTGCCTATATCCTTGGTGTATCCATGCGTGGGTACATCGATAACTATCATTCCGGGATTTTTGACCCCGGCATAATGATCAGTTTCTAAATGTTAAAAATGTGGGTTCAACACCCCAAATTATGGTAGCATCATGATGAACTCACCAAGTTCCAATTTCTTCAAACTTAAGCACAAATTTCCTAACTTACCTTCCTAACAATTCTTACCCCTTTTACCTCAAAATTTCAATAAAATTGAACATAAAGCACATCAAAAACCACAAAACACCATTCCATTGCTTGTTCCACTTGATGTAATCCAACTCCAAGAATTAAACCTATAAATCCAAAATAAAAACAAGTGAAAGAAAAGAAAAGAAACTAAAAGAAAGCAAATTAAGAAAAATTGAAATCAAAAGAAAATGTTAGAAATCTCCGGGTTGCCTCCCGGGAAGCACTTGCTTAAGGTCCTTAGCTTGACCCTTCCTCCAAATCACGGAGGGTCAAAGAACACCACCTTCTTCAAAGTGGCAAAAGGAGAAAATTTCTCTTCAATTTTTAGCAACTTCTTGTTGTTGCTTGATGAAACTTCATTCGATGGTTTCTCAAAAGCAATCTTCTCTTTCCATAACCTCATTCTCCTTCTCTTTTTCCTAGAAGCTCGTGCTTTTTTCTTTGCCTTGTTCCTCTTTGTAAATGGTTTCTCACCATCAACACTCTTAGGATTATCGTCCTCCTCTTGAAGGTGAAGCTCAAACCAATAAGGAATGTCAATCTCCTCCTCGTCTATGAGCGTGGGAAACTCTTTTTTCTCTTCACTAACCTTCTTGCAATCAAAACTCAAAAACACATCATCACAATTCTCAAGAATTTCGTTAGTTGAAGTATCAATCATGCATACATTATCAATAGAGCGAGGGGAATTAACACACATGATTCCTTTCAAGAAAGACAAAAACTCATGCATCGGTTTTAGCTCGAAACTTTCCTCATTGTTACCAACTCTCAAAGTAATACGACCTCCCTTAACATCAATCTAAGCTCCCGAGGTAGCTAAGAAAGGTCTCCCTAAAATGATAGGAATATGGTCATCTTCCGCAATCTCTAACACAATGAAATCAACGGGAATTATGAATTCTCCTATCTTAAGGGGAACATCCTCAACTCTTCCCTTTGGGAACTTGATGGATCTATCGACTAATTGAAGGGTCATATTTGATGGAAGGAGATCAACTATATCTTAAGTCTCTTGAAGACGGAATAAGGCATGATACTCACGCTAGCACCGAGATCACAAAGGGAAATTTGGAACAATTTTCCTTTGATTTGGTAAGGGATGGAGAAATTCCCGGGGTCTTTCAACTTATGGGGCAAGTCATTATGGATAAAGGCACTACAACACTCCCCCAAATTCACCGGTTCCACCATATGACAATCTCTTTTACCGCTCAAAATTTCCTTAAGAAACCTAGCATAATTTGGCATTTGTTCCAAGACTTCGGTGAAAAGAATAGAAAGATGAATTTTCTTCAGCATCTCAATACATTGTCCAAATTGCTCATCCAATTTGTACCTATTGAACTTTTGGGGGTATGGAAGTTTGGGCTTATAAACCTCATCTTTCTTCTTCTCCTTCTCCTTTTGCTCTTTATTAGATTTCTTACTCATCTTGCTAGACTCTTCATGCTTATTCTCTTTGCTCGAATCACTCCCCTCTTCACCCTCCTTACTCTTCCTAGGAACACTCTCTTCAAGGAATTTACCACTCCTAGTGGTGATAGAACAAACCGGTTCCTTAGGATCAATTTCTTGTGAGGGTAAAGAAGATGGGCTAGCACAATATTTCAAGGGGTTAGCTAGTTGAACGATGTGGTTCTCAAGCATCTTTTCATGATTTAATAGGCCATGAAACATTTTGTCACTAGAGGATATGTAATCGTCCAAATTTTTGGCTTGATCTACCATGAAATTCGCTAGCTTACTCATAAATTGAGATTGTTGATCATAGGAATCATCACTTTGGCATTGAGTTATTGGAGTACATTTGGGTGAGGAACCCCTTTGAGAATTATTTTGAAAATTTCCTCTACTTTGGTTACTCCAATTACCCTTATCAAGATTTCTGTCGGAATTTGACTATGATTACCATAACCTTGGTTATGATCCCCATATTCTTGGCCGTAGCTTTGATCATTACAACCAAATTTGTTTTGGTTACTACGAAACCCTTGGGTTACTTGGTTCCTATAACCACTATTTTGGTTATAATTATCGTAGCTCCCATGGTTGTGATAGTTCCTATTTCCAACATTCTTTTGAGCATTAACTCTAGATCCAAAATCACTATTTCCAACATAATTCACATGCAAATTTTCATTTTCATTATATTCATAGCATCCATCACAAGGAACTTTTGGACAGTTAGAAGCATCATGATCATTTTTTCCGCATAAATCACAAGCCAAACATTCTCTAATCATGCAACAAGAAGCGAAAAAAGGGTTAGAGTAAGAAGATGTACCTCTCCCCTTAAATTGGGAGGGAAGATCTTGTGCTTGTGAAGATGAATTTTCAAGCTTAGCTTTGATAGAAGCCACCTCCTTCCCTAAGTCCGAAAGTAGAGTAGAAAATTTGTTGATGGCATTGACTTTATCAACCAAGGCACACTCGTTTGTTGACTCTTCCTCAACCTTTTTCCAACTCATGAAGTTCCTCACTACATCATCTATAACATCAACAACCTCTTCTATCGTCTTGTTCATGATTGGGCCTCCGGCTCCGGCATCTAAGCTCGACCTACCTTGAGGACTCAAACCGCAATAGAAATTTCAATTAGTTGGTAAGTTGGAATTCCGTGATGAGGGCACTCTCTTTGATACTCTTTGTACCTCTCCAATGCTTCATAGAGATTTTCATTAGGCCTTTGCTTGAAATTTTGGACCAAAGTTCTAGCTTTTGCCGTTGAGGGTAGAAACGGTATAAGAATCCTTTGGTAACATCGTCCCATGTTCTTAAAGAATTACACTTGACCTCCTTGTCCAACCATTCCAAGGCTCGCCCTATGAGGGAAAAAGGAAATAATTTGAGCCTTATAAACTCTTGTGCAACCCCACTCACCATAATAGTGTTGCAATATTTTTCGAATTCCTTAAGATGATTTAGGGGGCTCTCATTAACTCCTCCACTATATTGCCTCCTTTCAATCAAAGTTATCATTGCCGGCTTGATTTCGAAGTCACTATCCGGGATTAATAATGGAGCAATTTTGCTCTCATACTTGTATGCATCCGGAGTGCCCAACTCCTTCAATGTAACCCTTTGAGCTTCTCCCATGTTCACTTGCACACACAATCTCAAACAAAATTATTAGTAGCACGGCTAGAAATGTAGCCTAAAAAAGAAAATCTTTTTGTATTTTTGCAAATAAGGTGAAATAGACTTAACAACAATAGCAATCATCTACGCCATTCCCGGTAACGGCGCCATTTTTGACCTGAAGAAAAGACTAGGTCGTTGAAAACTAATCTACCCTTGGTCAAAACATAATTTATAATCTCTCAACACACCCCTACACAAAGCATAGAGTAAGTCGAGGGTCGAACCACTAAGAATGGGAGGTGAATGCTAAAATCAAAGCTAAGCTATTTCGAAGCAAATGAAGTGAGGTGTGTCTATTCTATCAATCAAACAATCGAAACGAAAATCAAACTTATCAAGTACTAGAGTATGGATCCAAATAAACTAGTAATTAATTCAACTAATTGGGATTGGAGATGACTAAGTCAAGTGTTGCGAGGGAAAATCGATTAAGCAATCAAGAGAATATGGTAGGCTAATCCCTAGAGGTCAAACTAGCGCCAACTACGAGAGACTCTAGCTAGGAAACTTGCAAACTTAATCAATTGACAAATGCAAGTCACAAATTAATTTTTCGTATCAATGTGAACCTACAATGCAATCTAGTATGAGAAACTTAGGTTGATCAGTCCTAAATTGAACACACACATGCACTTAATCAATCAACCTATCACAACATCAACTCCATCAATTTCCCCCAATTAGCACAAATCAAGTACTCATTTATGCTTCACAATTTCCCTATAAAGATAACTACGCACTAATCATAGAAATCATTATCAAAACTAAACTAAGCAACAAATTCATCATCATCATGTTGATAAAAAATATACCAATTCAAAAATCAATCAATCTTGAACAATTAACAAAGAAATTGAGATAAAAAAAAAGATTGCATTAAAGTGAAGAAATCCTTACAAACTTGCTTCAATTCAATGGAGTAAAACACTTAGAATCATCAATCTTCAATCTTCAATCAAGAACTTCTCTCTCTACAAATTAGAGTTTCTCTCTCTAAAAGTCTAACCTAATTCTATTCTAATTTCTGAAAATTTGAACTTTCCTTAAAAATAGAAAGAAAATCTATATATAGTAAAACTAACTAAGAGAAATTAGTTAGATCGTCCCCAAATAAACCCAAACATGCGCAACCAACTACAAGAGAGAGAGTGGCCGCGCAATTATGGGTACGGAACAGGGACCTGAAAAGGAGCACCCGCGCCCGAGAGAAGCGCGCCCACTCCCGATAGAGGCGCGCCCGTGCCACCAAGCCACGCGCGCCTGGGATCAGGGCATCCATCTTCCCTATCATTCCAATGCACCTCGTGTGTTCCACTTAATGCTCTTGATAAACACGGAACCTTGCAATTACTAAACTCCATGTTTGCGGGTTAAAGACTAGAAATCATGCCCCCACGGCTTGAATGCACAGCTCAAGGTCTTTAGGAACTTGCACTTCTCCATGCTCGAGCTTCAAATGGAGACCACTAGGCATCCTAATCAATGCCAAACTTGGGGAGAGGCCTCAGGAAACTTGGATAACGACCTTAACCTGAAAAATAAAGGAAAACAAGCAAATAAAAGAGAAAATAACAAAATAAACAAAGAAATACATAAAGAAAGAAATTCAACTAAGAAAATGCAAACTAAAAAAATAAAGAGTAAAATAAAGGAAAAGCTAAGTAAAAGAGCTATAGAAAAGAATGAAATTCATCATAAAGAGAACTAAATGAGTGCCATAAATGACACTCATCATACAGAAACAGGTGGCACGCGCAACTAAACCAGTTGCGCGCACCCTTCGCACGCAACGAAGAAGATTGCGCTGGTCATGCTAGCACATTTTTTTGTCTTGCGCTGATAAACGCCGAAAAAAAAAACGTACGTGTAATAGGAGTGGACTTCCCGTGAGACCGTTTTCTCTAAGGCGATTCAAGCACATAAAAGTTTCCGCCAAAACCAAAAGAGCGGGTGAATGACATCCCTCTATTTGTTCTACTATGGACACCATTAAATAATCTCCGTATTATTTGCCTGTCCTAAGTAAACAATTAACAACAAGACAATAACATAAAGCACGAATTTTATAGCATTGTTTAGTCATGCTGTCACGAGGGGTAACGAAGTGTTCAATAAATTGAATTAAGTTCACGCTGCTTCAGTTCCCATGAAGGTCATATCATTGTCGGACAAACCAAAAAATCTTTGGAATATAGGTTTGGGATCCGACAAGGTAGGCGAATAAGTCACAGGGAGAGTGCTTGTAGGGAAACCTAGCAAGGCCTTTAACTCACAAGGAAGGGGGACAATTTCGTCCCCTCTAAACAAGAAAAGATGGTGGTTAGAGTCCCAATGGTTGACTGCGGCATGAAGAAAATCAAAGTTAACCACTAATTGCATATAATTTAATAAAGGGTCCAAGTGGTAAATTTTGAAAGCTAGCTTGTCCTCAGTTGAAAGGGATGTGACCCATTGCTTCAAACGTTGTTCAAAGGTCTTCACCATTCACCATCGTTCAAAAAAAAGAAAGAAAAAGAGAGAGAGAATAAGAATTTAGAGTGATTAATTCTTTTTAATTTCTTATGTTGTTAAGCGAATGAATGCGAGATGATCAAAAGCCTACACAAAACCACGTTTAAATAGACCTAAGAGGGGAAAATTTTCGGCAAATTCAGCTTAAAGGAAAGTTCACTGCCAGGTGACGCGCGCAACTCTAAAGTTGCGTGCGACACCCGCGCGCAAAAGAATTACATGCGCGCGACAGCCGCGCGCAACTCACGCAGTTGCGCGTGACTCCCCTGATGCGGCATGTAAGTTGGTTAATTTCCGTATTTTTGCTCATATAATGACGGAATCTTCACGAGATTTTAAGACGAATCATACGCTTGCCTTCTAACACTTTGTGTCCCTTTTCTTGCCTACTTTCTTATTTTCTTTTATTATTTTCTTATTTTCTTTATATTTTTTTCCTCATTCTTTTCCTACTTTCTTTTTCTTTTTCTTTTCTTTATTTTCCTACTTCTTTTTTTTCTTTTTTTATTTTCTTTTTCCTTCTTTGCGCCTTCTTTTTGGTTTTTTGAGTTTGTTTATTTTTTTCGAGGAGGGTAAGTCGGGGACCCTTTCCCTCCCTCGAAATTTTTTTGCATTAATATACACATGGAAACAAATAATAATAATAATAATAATGGCATATATATATATATGTGTCATATATACAAAAAAAATAATATATACATAAGTTTCCTAAAAAAATATAATAAATGTGTACAAAATGAATCAGGGTGCTCGACTACTATTAGACGGTTGCTGCACATCCTGCAAAATCCAAAACGAAGATTAATATAGAAAATGTAATAACTTCGTTGCAAAGAAAAAAAAATAATATATAATAAAACTTACCGCGACCATCCGATGATCACGACATAAAAAAGTCACGAGGGCTCTTCGATAAGCAGCTCAGAAAGCACGTAAAGTCCTTACCATGCCGTTCACGGTCTCCCGCAGAACCTGTTCCAAGAATACAAGGACAGTTAGTAAACATTTGTATATGAAACAAAAAAATAAATAGAAATATTTAAGTACATATACATAAAGACATACCGACTCAA